TCTGTGGGATACCTGCGCTGTGGGATACCTGCTCTGTGGGCTACCTGCTCTGTGGGTTACCTGCGCTGTGGGTTGTACATGAAGAGCAGGTTGAGCAGCCGGTGTCCTGCGTCAGACAGCCAGGTGAACTTGTTCTTCAGGTTGTTGTACGGCTGCTTCCTCAGGCTGTACTGACCGATGAGCGGCAGCTGAGAGAAGCCCTGCAGCACAAACACACCACCTGAGCCTCGTGTCACAGCTACACACCAGACAGAAGCTGACCAGAAGTTCTCTGATCTCCTGTCCAACATGACAGGTTCTGGATCATGATGAGAAGTAACGGAGAACTTCAGGTGTTTATCTCTAATAGTTCCTGAAATGTTCAAACAGCCTCAGATCTGACCTGATCAATAAAACGGAGACGGGGAGTCGATCAGAGGCAAGACACTGTAAAATAAATACAAATAAAAATGCTCCTTTCTCCTGCAGGACTTTATGTTGCAGTAAAAACGTGACCGGAGCAAACAGAGAGCAGATGAACAGCTAACATGGTGGAGGTGACGTCACCAGCCGACTCATCCAGGAAGCTGCGTCTCACCGGCCAGATGTTCTCGTTGGGCGTCCCCAGCAGCTGGACGATCAGGTCCACCTGCTGGATCTCAGAGGTCCCCGGCAGCAGAGGCTTGTGGGCCAGAAGCTCCGCCAGGATGCAGCCGACCGCCCTGCAGAGAAAACAGCAGCCTTCAGGTCCTGGTGTGGAGGGCGGCGGCTTTATTCACTCTATTATCAGTTTTACTACCGTAATGTCTGGACTATCAGCTCCTACTTCCTTCACACGCTCTGAACGCTGCAGCTTAAACAACGATGCGGCTAATTTATGGATTTTTACGAATTCACCTGGAGACCAAAGTGAGGCTGAGAGCGACGACGACAGAGAGACTGAGGAAGTGATGAAGTGATTCTGAGGCTGTTCAGCTCCTGAAGAAGACGACTTTAGTGGTTTTAGTGCAGGAGGAAGATGAAGATAGCCATCAGTGACTTTTCCTGGTAGCTGCTGGAGTTTTATTTCCTTAAGCAGCCGTGTTACAGGAAGTGTTTAGAAAAAAGCCTCTACGGTACGTATCTGTGTATGTTACCGCTACGCATTTAATTAAAGGTTAAAACATCTTTCTGTGTGAATATCTCATGTTCCTAAACTGGAATAAAAAAAACGCTCAGAGTTTGAAAAGCTAAAATCTGATCAATAGAAATGTCTGAAGCTCTTCTCGGTGTTCCTCTTCTTGCTTTCCAGGTTTAACTTCCTGTAAACGTTCATCTGGAGATCAGAGAGCACGTGTTGGAACAAACCTGAGACTCTGGACATGTCTGGTTACTGTACGTTGGGGTTTCAGTAAACCAGCTGGTTAACTGGTTACCAAGTGTGGACTTCAACATACCTGTTAGAGCCTCTTTATTCACATCTGCACGGTTTAATTCGTCTCCTTTATTGTGTTTATTGTTTATATCCAAGAGCTTCTCACAGAGAACATGTCAGCTGATCACAGATAACTAGATGCTAATTAAAAGTGTTTTCCTCCTTCTGTGGATGCTTAGATGAACTCAAAGCACCCTGCGAGTGTTCTCACCACATGTCCAGCGCCGTGGTCTGGGTCTTGGTGCCCAGGAGGAGCTCTGGAGCTCGGTACCTGCAGGAGGGAGGCACACGTCCAGAGTTAGAGGAGGATTACTGCAGCGGATTACACAGTTTCCACTGAGGCTGCAGCACCGGGGTTACCTGCAGGACAGCAGCTAAACCCGAACCCTGGAGAACCAGAACCAACACTCACCACAGCGTCACCACTCTGGGAGTCATGGGCTGCTGGGGGATGCCGTACATCCGGGCCAGGCCGAAGTCCGCTGCATGGAGGGCAAACCAGAGCTGATCAATACATATAGATATATAATTACACACGTCTTAATCAGCTAATCAGTTATTTAAACCAGAATACAGTGAAGACGTGACATTAAGCTTCAGTATGTTCACTTTACACTGACATTAAAAACAATCTGACATTCAAGAGGCAGAAACCAGAGAATAACCAACAGTTCTAATAAATCGATTGGAAAACAGCTTCTAATCAATACTCTGACAAATTAATCAAACAATAAAACGCTGACGTTCGTTGTGAGCCATTCAAACAAACCGGGCTCTCCTGCTTGTGTTTTATAAAGCTTCCACTGCTCCTCCTCCTGCCGCGGTTCATCAACTAGTTGTCAACTAATCAATCACTAACTCGTCTGATGACCACATGATCGTTTTTGAGTCACTTTTTGAGAAAGAAAGTCAAAATTCTCTGTTTTCAGCTTCTTAAACGTGAGTATTTTCTGGCTTCTCTCCTCCTTTACGACGGTAAACTAGTATCTGGTGGTTGTGCTGGTGTCCACACAACAAGTCTGATATTCAAACATTCGTCCGCTACACCCCACATGCTGCGATCGGTTCATAAATAACATCTCAGGACCCATCTGAGGTCAGAGGTCCGTTCAGGCCGGGTTCTGGATGTGACTACAGGAAGCTGCCGACTCACCGATCTTAACGCAGCCTTTGTCTGTCATCAGCAGATTAGACACCTTCAGGTCCCTGATAAGGAGATAGAGAGGATGATGAGCTGCAGCGTTCTCAGTTCAGCTGCTGCACAACATGTTCAGTTAAAGCCGGATGGAGCCGCATAAGAATAAAGCTCCCCAGAACCTCCTCACAACATCTGGACTTTATCTACTGAAGCAGACGTTGACCGTCACACCCTGAATGTTTCTAAAGTTTTCTCTGAACGATCAGAAACCAGAAACACGTCCAGGTTCATGTTCTGCAGGTCGTCTGGTTGGTCGATGGCTGTCGGTCAACCATCGTTCATAAGAAGTAGAGCTCTGCATCAGCAGCCGTGACTTCTGGCAGGAACAACTTTGACCTGATCCAGGCTGACGGAGAACATCAGGTTTGACTTATTTAGTGAACATTTACTCAGTCCACTTCCACCCCGGGGCAGCGCTCTGACGGGGTGGAAGTGTCCAGAACACACAGGCAGTACTTGGCTGCTGATGCTAGTTTAGTTAGCGCTCACACTTCTGTTTCCTCCATCGGTGGCGGCGGGGGAGTGGCAGATACGCTCCACCGTTACCATCCATGTTTACTTCCATAAACACTGAGCACGCTCGCTGCGTGTGAGGTCGTCGTGTCCTCTTCTGCGCATGCGGGACACTTTTGGGTCGTATGAAGTTCACACAGCAGATCACATACAAGTCGCATTTAAGTGGAAATGTGAAGGAAGTCACAAAGAAATCCTCATTGAGCATCAAGTCCTGCAGTGTGAACGTAGCCAATCTGTGGGATTGTTCAGTCAGATAATACGCCGTCATCCTGATTGGTGACATTAAATGTCATGTCGGAGTCACAATCCAAGGCTGTCGCTATGTTAAGGCTGTTTTTATGGGTTCTGTTGGTTTTTCCTACAAACCTGTCGGATAGCAGGTTTTGGATTGTTACGGGTCGATTATCGGGTCATGACTGTATCTTGTGCAGCTGCTCTGATCCCAGTCAGCAGAGAAGAACCAAAACTGATTCAATACGCTGCTAGTTCTAGTTTTATGCAGATTCAGAACTCAGTCAGGCTAAAAAGGCAGCAGGTGGTCCCTCAGGGTTTTCTCTGCTCCACTATAGTCCACTATAGTCCACAACATGACGTCTTATCACTGTTCTCTGTGCTGTGACCTTCTGACCTGTGTATGATGAAGTTGTGGTGGAGATACTCCAGACCTCTGAGCAGCTGCAGGACGATGCACTTCACCTGGAGAAGAAAAGATAACGTAAGCCGTAGCCGAGTCCAGAAGAACCAAACAGAGTCCAGTGTTCCGCCTTCAGCCACTTTGTTTTGCTCCTCAGACTGGACTTCTAGGAAAAATAAAACCTGACATGATGCAGTTCCTCTCATGGTACTAACACTCTCACAGTTCAGCATTAACCCTGTCCTGGAAAGTCATGGAGCTCCTACAAATAAACCTGGTTCAGTGTGTCTGGAGTTTCATCCATTTACAGTCCTAGAAGACAGAAGAATCACTCATGTCTGCTGTACAATAAAACCAAGACCAAAGGTGAAAGGTTCCTACCTGAGCCTCAGAAAACGGCGTCTGCATGTTCTCCAGCAGACTGGCCAGATCCTGCTCACAGTAGCTCATCACCAGGAACAGACTGGAACCACATTAGAACCAGTTAAAGCACAACCAGCTGCAGACATCACACGGGATCCTAGATCACCACATTGATAAAGACGGAGAGGTGCTTCCTGCTGGTTCCTGGTTGACTCTTGACCATCCTGACCAGTCGTCTCTCAGCAGCAGCTGCTAGTTTGTGTTTCCTTCCTGATGGTGGCAGTAACACAACTGGACCATGAACTTTATGCTGACACACTGATGGTTCTGGTTCTGAAGCTGCTCTGAAATGGCTCTAGGTGACTTTCTGATGATGTTCTTCTCCAGATCTTTGCTGAGCTCCTCAGACTTTCCCGCTGTGGTGTCTGAGTCTAATGAGTGGATCAGATGGTTCTGTTGGAACTGGATCAGAGGAGCCAGCAGCTGGAGTCAATCAGAACCACTAAGGAGGAGTTAGGAGGCCATGAAGCAGATGTTGTCTTATTTCCAGAAGACCTTTAATAAATCTATGAAAGATCTAAAATATGACTGTTTTGTTGTTTTGTGACAAAGATTCACGTCTCAGTGGTTCCATCAGAGAAACTGTTGAGTTCTAGGAGTCACTGGAGACTCAAAAACAGAAAAAGCAGTAAAACACATTATTATGATGTCTTGTTATTCAGACGTCAGATTCTCGGTGTTTACTTTCATTTCCTGAACAGAACCATGAGTTTTCGTGGCTGAATGTTCTGCTGGATCCATGTCTGGCTCCTCAGAGAAGCCAGTGGCTCAGATCTGGGTAGAAGGAGGTGAATTCAGTCTAAATCCTTCATCCAGGTGTGTTAACCACTGTTCATGGTCTTTGTTCATGACTATTTACCCACCAGAAGATTCCTTCAGTCTCTTCAGATTGAAGTAAAGCAGTTTCTGTCTTGTATCTCACAAACCTTTCTACTTTAACCACATTATTCAGCAGAGTCTCCTCTCCATCTCCAACACAGCACCGATAAACACCCTCCACATGGTGGCGCTGGACGCTGCCTACCTCTCCAGCTGGCTGCCCACCACCACCTCCTTCAGCTCCACGATGTTGGGATGTCTGAGCCTCAGCAGCAGCGTGATCTCTCTCAGGCTGCTGATGGGGATCCCTGGTGGACAGAGAGCAGCTTTCATTCATGGCTTCAGTGAGAGAAGCATCGACCTGGACGTCCCTGGAGCGTCTAACGAGCACTGAGTGGAGATCATGTTCAGTTTGGATGTTTATTATAACACGCCAACACCTTCTGAATGTGTTTCTGGTCTCATAAAGGAGTTCTCTCATACAACAGGAAGTACAGACATCAGGTTGTTTTTCTAATTTAAAGGTGAGGAAGTGGAGGACGTTCTCTCATCCAACCACATCCTCACTGGTCGGACAGTCTCAGGCGTTATGTTCATCTCCATCCTCAGACCTCCAGATTAATCAGTACTTCTGGCAGCAGGAGGAACAGACGGTTACTGAAGTCTTTGCCAGATACTGCTCAGAAAAAACAAAACTACACTAAAGAAGAGATGCAGCTCCAGATCGAAACGCAAGACGACAGAAGCTACTGAAAATAAAAACAAGTTTAAAAGAAAAGACTGGAATAAAACAAAGTAAAGCTCCCGACTGTCACACACGATGGTAAAATACTGAATAACACACCGAGATATTAAAATACTGAAATATTGAGCATTACGCTGACATCTGGTGCATAAAATGAGATCTCACACACGATACTGACATTTCTGAGATATTTTTAGGCTTCAAGATTCAACAGTTGTTGTTTGTCTCATGAGGAACGTGACGTAAATACCGTTCTTTAAAACCGTAATAACCAGAAACACAACAGTTCTTCTAAAACTGAATAACAGTCAGAATCTTTGTGTCATCTCTGTTTATATAAAATCTCATCTGATCGTCGTTTGGAGCCACAGAAAGGTTCAGAAATACGTTTAGAAACCAGACATTTCAGTTTGCGAAAGTTCCAGAAACCATCTTTTTACTTTTCTAGATAAAAAAAAAACACTTTTATCAGTTTGACAGTAAAAGAACGAAACCCCACCGTGAGCAGGAGGCGACTGTGTTCTGAATAAAATCTCCTGTTCAGATAAAAACACTGAATCACGGCTACAGCAGCGGCTCACCGTCTTTCTCTTTGTCCATGCGGACCTTCTTCAGCGCTACGATCTCGTCAGACTTGGTGTCGCGGGCTCGGTCTAGACAGGAAGAGGAAGCAGGTTATTGACCGTGCTGTGGCTCCAGACACTCATCACGTTAAACGCAGCGACTCACAGACGATGCCGTACGTTCCTTCTCCGATCCGGTTCAGCTTCTCGAACTCTCGGACGCTTCGGCAGCTCCCAAACTAGAGGAGAAAACAAGTTTATTCTCCTTAAGGCTTCACTAAAGCAGAAAACTTGCAGCTTCCACACAGTTAACACATTTAAATACAGTTTTATGATCTATACAAATATCATAAGTGTGTTATTTATGTGATACCTGGAGTCACCTGAGCTACTTGTGTTCATATAAACACTGATTTTGATGCTCTTTAGTACCAAATTACACTAAAATTAACATTTGAGGATTTTCTGTGATGCTAATCAGACAAAACCAGACATTTGATGGCATCAGGTTGGCTTTTCTTCCTATTTTCCAGCGCTGTACAGAGCAGACAGTGACTTATCATTGATTAATCAGTAAATTAGACCTGGACATACAAGCAGCAGAAAACTAATGAAGGAATGGGTCAATTAAAAGCATAGCTAAGTAACTAAAAGGTCCACATAAGTCTAGAAACCTGCCCAGCCAGCAGGAGTCCCACATTACACCTCAGACTGGTTCATTGCTTTCTATCCATATCTCCAACAGAAAAATAAAAACAAACCAACTGATGCTTAAAGATGAAAATAGTCGATCACTTAACAGTTGGCTGCTATTTGTTTTGATGCAGATACCAGATGCTTGCTGATACTGACATTAAATCAACTTGGTGGTCATCAAACCAAACAGCTGCCTTCAGGTGATTTTACCCACAACCCACTCCACACGTGACCAGTTTGTGTTCATTCAGTCCAACTAGGTCCAGTCTGCTCTAATGAAGGTGCTGCAGGTAAGAGGGCCATGACATCAGTGGCTCTGTAAGGTGCAGGATTACAGCATTTTAATGGAAAACAGTAATGAGATTGGCTGCCGTTGGAAACAATGACGGAGAGGCGCTTCACTGATTAACGGACTGGCAGCACATGAGCACAGGTGGTCCACTGACCGAGGGAGGCGCTCAGATCCACAACAGACCAAAGTCCATGTAAAAATCAGCCGTTTTAAGCAGAAACCACTGACGCTCCCTCCGCCACAAAACACCGCCCTGCTGTCCACAGCTTACAAAGACAAGCACCGAACAAAACTTACCGTGTGTTAGTCAGCGCCTGTGTTTGCTGTTAGCTAGCATGAGTCATTTTATAACGGTTTGGGTTCTGTGAACAGACTGAACAGCGGCTACACGGCGGGTTTTCCTCAATATGTTCAGTCGTAGCTACTTCACATATAAACCGATTTTTCCACTAGTTAACCTTGTTTTGATGAATGGTGTTAACTCGTGTCTCCTTTGAACATCTCGTCGCTGGTGAGCAAATGATGCCTAAACCAGCGGAGCTGTGGACGGAGTTCGGCCCGCTCGGAGCTCGGTCTCTTACCCGGTCGTTCTGAGGCACGGTGAACGTTTTGTAGTCCTTCACGGACTTGAGCTTTATCGGATCAGGCGCGTCCTCCCCGACGGCGTCCATTCTTGCATGTAAGGTGGTTTATTTAACCCAGGAGAGCAGAAAAGCAGCCGCAGCGTGTTTCACTGGACTCAGAGCAGCGGGACCCGCCGCCATCTTGGATTGTTTTCAGGCCTGCAGGTCAACAAAGACGTTTCCCGGAGTTCGGACGAACTGCTGCGGTTCTGTGTCTGGACGGAGGCTGCGAGACCCACGTCGAGTCTGTCTGGGAAAACTGTGATAAAACAAGTAATTATACACACAAATAAAACAAAAAATCCATCCATCCAGTGTGTCATGTGTATGGATATAACTACATACATGTTTTTATTCACCAAACAACTGAAAGTACAAAGTGACCACAGACACACACAAACCACTGGAAGCAAGCACAAAGCAGCTGCAGGTATACATACACACACAAAGCAGCTGCAGAGTGATGTGAAGTCACCACAAGGACACACAACAAAATGAAGAGACACAATTACTGCAGAGTGTCTTCATACCGCTGCAACAACGTGAGGTTTCCCACTGTGGTGAAAAATAACGTCTAATCTAAGACATGCAGAGAAGAGTGAGGCTGCAATGGGAAGCAAAGTTATCACTAATAGGTGCAAACCCAACACAAAGTGAGTATAACTGCAGAATGAGACAAAACCACTAGAAGGAGACACAACATGACAGCACACCCAACACAAAGGAGCACACGACTGCCACAGAAAGTAAATAAGGGCAAAGGACACTGAAGGAGTGCAACGCAGACACACAAGAGTCACAAGACGACTGCAAAGTGAGGCAGAATGTGTAAAAACTCCACAAAAAAACTACAAATGGAACCAAAACAGCTGCAAAAAGTTACAAAACTACAAGAAAACCTGCACAAACACAGACACACACAACTGCAAAGACACACAAGCTAAAGACAAAGAGGATCCCTGTGAGGTCTGCTGAAAGACTGTCAGGACGCAGCGTCAGCGTTGGAACCTGCTCTTTCACCTTCTATGTAGTGCGTCTACATGAAGACGTCTGTGAGACACGCTGACAACTCTGAACTCACACAGACTCCGCTGCAGGTTTCAGTTTCAGCGTTCCTCTCCTCCCAGCTACTGACTGGCCACCAGTTTCTTCCCCACTACGAACGGATTGGAGCCGGGCCTCCGCTCCTTGATGGCGTCGGCGATGGTGACGCTGGGCGGCGAGACGTGGATGTCCTCCCGCGACGGGGCCGTGATGAGGATGGTGGGAAGACGAGGATGGTCATCGGTGGAGTCCGACTCGGTGTTGGGCTGCGAGGGCTCTGAAGCTGGAGACCAAGCAGGAAAACTGAATAAATATACAACAACTAAAGCGTCAGTAACATCAAGTCATGCACATCAGAACTGTGTGTTACGTTCATTTCCTCCAGAAGAGCCCAGAAGAGGAAGTAATTAACCTCCAGAGTCAGTATTTAATATTTATATCCTTGGTGATCTGTAGCGTGATGCAGAAATCACCAAACTACCAAAACATAAACACACTGAACAACTGCAAAGAAACCCTGAACTACTGCTGAATGACTGCAGATGTACAGAACTAGACACACATTTCTCTATCTCTCTCATATGTTCTTGTAAATCTAGTTGACTTTCTTCTATGTTATAGTTCTCTGTTTTTATTTTATACCCTCATATTGCTTTGTTTAGCCCTTTGTTGGACAGTCCTGCTGCTGTAACACCTGGATTTCCCTCCTGGGGTTAATAAAGTCAGTCTAAGTCTAATAAACACACACACAGCTGCGACCAACAAACACAGATGTACCGCAAAGAAACACCAGATGACAGTAAAGTGACCCAAAGCTACTGCAAACAAACAACAAACAAGCACAAACAGTGACAAAATGGCCACAAAGATGCACAAAACCACCACAAAAAGAGAGAAAAGAGCTGCAAAGACACACAAAATCACTAAAATGAAACACAGCATGAGCACGGAGCGACACAAGATGAGGTGGAACCAACAACAAACAGACGTGATTACAGCTGAAAGAGACGTAAAGGTCTGAAACGATGACCGAGAACGTTGCTGTAAACAAACAGGAGAACACTTCAACGTGACACAGGTAAACAGCAACCAGAGAGAATGACTGAACACACAAAACTACCACAAACAGACACACACAGGTTGCTGCTGTGCATCTGTATTGTATCAGAGCGTCTGCAGCATCCGTTTCACTTCCTGCTGCTGGAGTTGGGAGCTGCGCTGCGATTGGTCGGTTGTTCAGGTGAGCCGTACCTGCTGACTCCAGGACACCCAGCAGTGTGTGTTTGTGTGCGTTGGCGGTGCTAGCTCGGTCCGAGGAGCAGCACCTTTTAAATTGGATTGGGCTAATTTGTTAAGAGCGTTAGAGCTGCGTCTGCATCAGAGCGGCTCCCCGCCGAGCAGTAACGATTATCGATCAGCGATTAATAATAATCAGAGGACCGACAGACGGACACTTCACAGCGTGTTCAGCTTTCATCAGCTGGATGTTGTTTCACTGTGCTGATGGTATAAAGGTGGGTTTGTTCCTTCAGCGTCATTCAGTCTGTGACCACGTGTTCAGGCACCAAACCATTAATGTGCTGCTTGTTCAGCTCAGCGCCACCTACAGACCAGAAAACAACCTGCTCACCAGAAATCCTTCAAAAGAAAGACAAGCGCTCGTCTGACACATCCAACAAG